TCCAGCGTCAGCCGCGAATCCAGGAGGACCCCCAGATTGCGCACCCTCTCCGAGGGGGCCAGAATTTCGCCCCCTATAGTCAGCGATGGAGTCAGCTGACTATGCCACGGCGCCGGCAGCCACAGCCACTCGGTCTTGGAAGGGTTGAGCCTGAGTCTGTTCCTCCCCATCCAGACCCTTACGGCCTCCAGGCAACGGGCCATCACGTCAAGGGCATTTTGTTGTTCAATAAAGTTTTTGACACCTTGCTAAGCTGGCACTTGAATATTGTCATGTTCTAAAGGTGGCACTCTCCTCTGCCTCTGCGCGTGCACAGGGAGGGCCGTGATTTTCTCCAGGCTGGGGTCTGGGCGGTGTAGCACTGGACAATGGGAGGGAGGGAGGGAAGGAGGAAGGGACAAAGAAGCAGGGAAGGAAAGAAAAAAGGGACAATGGGAGAGAGGGAGGGCACCCACCCGTCCCACCCCCCTCCACCAGAGACCCATGGATTCCCTCCACAAACACTCTGCAACCTGAGTGATGAGCTGGCCACGCCCCCCCAGCCATTGACTTCGCTTGTGAAAAGATGCAAAAGGTGATCACATGACCCTGGGACACTGTGACCGTCATTAAGTATGAATCAGTTGCCAAGCATCCGAATGTAAATCACGTGACCCTGGGGATGCTGCAACAGTCATAAGTGTGAAAAATGGTCATAAGTCACTTTTTTTCAGTGCCGTTGTAACTTCGAACAGTCACTAAGCGAATTGTAAGTCAAGGACTACCTGTACTTTATCATCTTTTTCCTATTTTTTTGGTCAGGTTTTTGAAACCTTGCTGGGCGACTGGTGGTACTCGGGTATTGCCTTATTCTAAAAGTGGTACAATGGGTGAAAAGGTTGAAAAGCCCTGTTCTACACTGTGTGACTCCTTTTATGGGAGTTAAGATAACTGTTTTTAATAAAACCTTTTCCACACACCATACATTTATACGGCTTCTCCCCTGTGTGGATCCTTTTATGGATGCTAAGATAACTCTTCGTAGAAAAACTCTTTCCACATTCTATACATTTATAAGGCTTCTCCCCCGTGTGAATCTTTTTATGGGAGGTAAGGTTAGTAGAGAGAGAAAAGCATTTTCCACATTCCATGCATTTATAGGGCTTCTCTCCTGTGTGGATTCGTTTGTGAACAGTAAGAGAAGAATTGCGACTGAAGCTCTTTCCACACTCTGTGCACTTATATGGCTTCTCCCCTGTATGGATCCAGTAATGGGAAGTAAGAGAATTACTGTGAGCGAAGCTCTTTCCACACTTCATGCATTTATATGGCTTCTCCCCTGTATGAAGCCGGTAATGTGAAGTAAGAGAAGTACTGAAAGTGAAGCTCTTTCCACACTCCATGCATTTATAGGGCTTCTCCCCTGTGTGGATCCTTTTATGGGAAGTAAGACTGTGGCTCAGAGTAAACGTCTTTCCACATTCCATGCATTTATATGACTTCCCTGCTGTATGGATCCGGTAATGTGAAGTAAGAGAATTACTACAAGTGAAGCTCTTTCCACACTCCATGCATTTATAGAGCTTCTCCTTTATGTGGATACTTTTATGGCAAGTAAGACTTCTGAAGTGAGTAAAGCTCCTTCCACACTCCATGCATTTATAGGGCTTCTCCCCTGTGTGGATCCTTTTATGGGAAGTAAGACTGCTGCTTGTAGTAAAGGTCTTTTCACACTCCATGCATTTATATGGCTTCTCCCCTGTATGGATCCGGTTATGCGAAGTAAGAGAATTACTACAAGCGAAGCTCTTTCCACACTCAGTGCATTTATATGACTTCTCCCCTGTATGGATCCGGTTATGCGAAGTAAGAGAATTACTACAAGCAAAGCTCTTTCCACACTCAGTGCATTTATATGGCTTTTCCCCTGTATGGATCCGGTTATGCGAAGTAAGAGAATTACTACAAGCAAAGCTCTTTCCACACTCAGTGCATTTATATGGCTTTTCCCCTGTATGGACCCTTAAGTGGGAAGTAAGAGAAGAACTAAAAGTGAAGCTCTTTCCACACTCAGTGCATTTATAGGGCTTCTCCTTTGTGTGGATCCTTTCATGGGAAGTAAGACTGTTTCTTTGAGTAAAGCTCTTTCCACACTCCATGCATTTATAGGGCTTCTCCCCTGTGTGGATCCTTTTATGGGAAGTAAGACTGCTGATTGTAGTAAAGGTCTTTTCACACTCCATGCATTTATATGGCTTCTCCCCTGTATGGATCCGATAATGCGAAGTAAGAGAAGTATTAAATGCGAAGCTCTTTCCACACTCCATGCATTTATAGGGCTTCTCTCCTGTGTGGATCCTTTTATGGGAAACAAGACCATTGCTATGAGCAAAGGTCTTTCCACACTCCATGCATGTATAGGGCTTCTCACCTGTGTGATGGATTCTCTTATGATATGTAAGACGATAGTTCCTATTGAAGTTTTTCCCACACTCCATGCATTTATATGGCTTCTCCCCTGTATGGATCCTTTTATGGGAAGTAAGACTGCTGCTCGTAATAAAGCTCTTTCCACACTCCATGCATTTATATGGCTTCTCCCCTGTATGGATCCTTTTATGGGAAGTAAGACTGCTGCTCTTAGTAAAGCTCTTTCCACACTCCATGCATTTATATGGCTTCTCCCCTGTATGGATCCAGTAATGCAAAGTAAGAGAAGTACTAAAAGTGAAGCTCTTTCCACACTCCATGCATTTATAGGGCTTCTCTCCTGTGTGGATCCTTTTATGGGAAACAAGACCATTGCTATGAGCAAAGGTCTTTCCACACTCCATGCATGTACAGGGCTTCTCACCTGTGTGGTGGATTCTCTTATGATATGTAAGATGATAGTTCATAGTGAAGTTTTCCCCACACTCCATGCATTTATATGGCTTCTCCCCTGTGTGGATCCTTTTATGGGAAGTAAGACTGCTGCTCGTAATAAAGCTCTTTCCACACTCCATGCATTTATATGGCTTCTCCCCTGTATGGATCCAGTAATGCGAAGTAAGAGAAGTACTAAAAGTGAAGCTCTTTCCACACTCCATGCATTTATAGGGCTTCTCTCCTGTGTGGATCCTTCTATGGGACCTAAGATGACTTCTAAAAATAAAGTTCTTTCCACAGTCCATGCATTTATAAGGCATTTTCTCTTTGTGGATCGTTTCATGCATAAAAAGATTTCTGAGTGAGGTGAAGCACTTTCCACACTCTGTGCATTGGTAGGGCTTCTCGCTTGTGTGGATCCTTTTATGAGAAGTAAGTTGTCTACGCTTAGTAAAGCTTTTCCCACACTCCATGCATTTATAGGTTTCCTCTTCTTTGTGGATCTTTTTATGGAAAATAAGTTGATTGTTCTTAACAAAGCTCTTTCCACACTCCATGCATTTATAGGGCTTCTCTCCTTTGCGGGTCCTTTTTTGAGATGTATGGGACCCATTTTTATGAGGAAGAGACAAATTCCATTTGTAATCTTTTCCACTGTCTCCAGATATATAATCTTCTCCTTTGGTTTGAGTTTGATAGTATTTATTTACATCTAATTTCTTTATGAGTACGTTTATATCTTTTCCAATATATTTGTTTTTTATTTTTCCTTGTTGGGCCACAGAGGCTTCAGTTGGTGCCTGAACAGAAGATGAATTTTCCCGATTACAATTATTTGCTTGGTTTCTCTCATGGCTTTCTTCTTCCATTAGAACTGCAGGGTTCTTCGTATTGTACCCACGAGTGATCATTTGGAATAGTTCCCAGGAATCTTCATATTCTTCCCCATTACCTTCACAGGAAAATAAAAATAACTTTAGAGAAAAAGAGCAAAGCATAGGAAGTTTGAATATAATAAAAAAAAAAACTGTTTGAATCTTCTCAGAAAAGCCCTTCAAGAATTTGATCTGGATTTTCTTGATTAAAATTTTGGAAGTTAAATCAAGCTTTGTATGGCTAGGGCAAAACCATAGGTTAAATTTCAAATTCTCCAAAATTCAAAGGAAAGGGGAGGATTTGGTTTGCCCGACTTGAAATTGGACTTTGTAGTCTGCTCTGTCGTTTGGATAAGAAACAGGAGTTGCTGAGAATTAAGAGAATGTTATAACTAGAAGAGCATGACAGAGGTTTGCATGACATGGATCTTTGTGATACGATAAATTTAGGCTTAATCTAGATTTTAAAATAACGTCAGAAATACCACATTGAGAATATGAAACAGATATAAAATCAGGCTGTGTCCCAAAACATCTAAATGACTCTTAGCAGAAAATAGAAGCAGGAAAAGACAATGGATAACATGTCGAAAGCCATTATAATTTGAGCTGCAGGAATACCAAATTAAGTCAAGAATGGCAAAAGGATATAACTGTCAGTCATTTTCCTATTGTCAGAAAGGTTCCAGGTAGATGAATAGAACTATAGTGTTCAACAACATAAAGCAGAATTCGAGTCTCCGTTGTGTACAAAAGATACGTAATTGTTAAAACCTTTAATCAGGCTGAGGAATATGAACAGAAAAATATTCAGAAGTGTATAAATGTACCTCAGACTAATATTGGAAATGTCAACAAGATAAAGGATCATTTTGTCGTGCTCTGGTGGACTTGTAAAAAAGCTAGAAAAGTTTGAATTCAAAGACATTCAGTGATAATGAGAACTTTAAAGATTAATATCCAACTGTAATCAGAACACTTTATGCTGGCACTAAGCAACAGTCATTGAAGATTGTCTCTGAGTATGATAACCGTAATGAGACTATTATACACAAAAAGCTGGAAGGGCTCTTACCCAAAGAGGCCACGTTCCTATGATTTTCCAGCATGACTTCCCAATGCAGCGCTTTTTGGTAAGCATCCAGCTGAGACCACTCCTCTTCGGAGAAATACACAGCCACCTCCTCAAAGGACACAAAGCCGTTCTGAACGACAAAAAAACAGATAAAAAACGGGAGGATTTTAAAGATCTGAACTATTTTTTATGTGATTCCAAACAAAGATATACATTTTGAGGCCATTCAGTGAAAGGAATCCCACTTTTCCTCTGGATCTTTCTGTCTGCAAAACTTTCAGCATCTGGAGAGAATCAACTGGAATGGGCCTTGGAACCCCCACCCATCACTCACTCCCATACACCCAGCGTTTGCAGAAGAAAATATAGGTGGAGGGATTCTTTTTACCATTTAAGTAAAAGCCTTGTGGTGTTTCCAGAACACACAATCTTGTGCATGCTCAAAACCTTCATTAAAGTTGTTTCAGAGCCACCCAGGGATTTACATGGGTGTCATCAATAGACAAAGGCACACAAGCCCTGTTTCGGCTGCTCCTCAGATTACAAGGAATCCACTGCTTGTATCCCAACCCAATGGCTGAAGAAGAGAAAGCTGCCTTGTGAAGAGCATTTCAAATCCTTCCCAAAGCTGGATTTTTTGGCCCCAAATTCTAGGCACAAATTGGAGTATTAGAAATTCCTTTAAAGGCTAAAGGGCCTTGATCTGCCCACTCTCTTTGATTTTAACAGTCTGCTTCATCTTTTAACCTGGTGCCATTATTTTCTCATCACTGGCTATAAACAAGGCTTTTGGGAAGCTGTAAGGTGCCAATGTGATTCCTTCAGTTATTATTGAGTAGCCTTCCACAATTCCACTTCAAAGAATTAATAAAAGGATCACTATTCAGCAAACACTAACACTGAACATTTTATTTTTTATCATCATCTCTTACTTGAGTTGGAGTTTCAGCCACTCTTTCAGCACCACCATAAAAAAGATTCAAATTCGTTCTATTCTTCCCTGTGAGGGAGACAGAATTTTTCAATAGATAATAAACAAAATAGCAGGAGGCATTCTACAGAAGAGAAGATATAGAGACAGAAAGCTGAGACCTCTCTTAGGAATAGGTGGATTTTTGATTACCATCTGAGATGTCCTGACTTGCGGCATCCTGAGAGATCCTCCTGGAAAGCAGCTCCAGAGGGAGATTTGATGGATTCCTGATTCTCATAGGATCTCTAGTCTGCAGAGGGAAAGACTTGAATAAGACATTACACAACATGGATTCTTATTCTCTAAAAACAACTTCAATCCCACAATATCAATCAATGAGCCTAGAATGTAAGAAAGGAACAGCTGTCTCCAGTCTATCTTCTAGAATGGATAATGGAACAATGTCCTGCAAGAACTAGTGAAACATCTCCACATATTATGAAAAGCAGAGAAGTAGGGAAGGAAGGGGTGAAAAATTCAAACACATTTTTTATTCCCTTCTGGACTTCCAAGGTGAAGGTCTCTTACCTGCAATTCGACTTGCTCCTTCTGCTCCTCTGCTTGACTCATGAGGAAGTCTTCCGCCAGGGCCACCGCTTGGCAGCTGGTCTCTGCTCCGCACTCCCGCAACCAGTTTTCCATCTGTGGAGGCAGAAGGGCCAGGAGCTGCTCCAGAACTACTAGGTCCAACATTTGGGTTTCAGTGTGCGTTACTAGCCTCAGCCATTGACTATAAATATTGTCGAGTCGGATGCAAAGTCCTCGGGGACCTTCCGTTTCCTGGTATTGGATGTTTCTGAAGTTCTAGAGCTGAATCTCTGAACGGATGATGGTTTTCTCCTCCAGGATCTTCTGCCCAGTTCTTGCCCAGATCTTCCCACAGCTCCTAGGCTCAACAGCAGAGGGGCCTTTTCCAGTTGCCTCACTTGCTAACGGTTGTTTTTGCATCCTTTGTCTGTCCTGGAAGGAAATTCCAGATAGGTCAGAGGAACCTTGTGGATCTCTAAACACCTTTCAATTCATAGGACTATTCCGGTAACTGCAGGACTGATTGCTCTTCACCCAAGAGTTAACTTTTTGTTGCTAGGAAGGTTCTTGAGAGGATTCTAGTTTCTGCATCTGAGATGGAAAAGAAAATAAATTCAAAGAATGAGAAGGTGGTGGACTTAACCACTGAACAACATTCATCTTTATGGAAGGGAGTCTTTTTCTCAGCTGGTAAAGTTTCTTAGACTTATATACTGCTTCACAGTGCTTTACAGCCCTCTCTAAGCGGTTTTCATAATCAGCATATTGCCCTGAACAATCTGGGTCCTCATTTTACCAACCTCGGAAGGATGGAATGCTGTCTCAACCTTGAGTCAGTGAGAATTAAACTGCGGAAGTACTGGGAGGTGTCAATCAGCTGAAGTAGCCTGCAGTACTGCATTCTAACCTTTGGGTATTTCTGTGTTTGTCTGTCCATCAAGTGTGGTTTTATATTTGAAGGATTTTCTATTTCTCTTTTTCCGAAAGGGTGGGCTACGTTTTTTTCAAATTTAAGATCTACATATATCCTACATTAGGGTTCATAAAGTTTCCAGAACTCAAGGAGCTTAAGAAACTGGAATGAAATACAGAATTTTTACATGTTTCTTGTGCTTCGTGTTGAGACATTTAGTTATTAGACATTAATTAAGTATGTTCCCCACTCTTGTCTTTAAGATAAATAGAAAGATACCATATTTTTCCGTGTATCAGACGCTATTTTTTCCTGCAAACACCCTGTTCAAGAACCAGGTGTCTCTTATACAAGTGCAGCGTCTTATACACGGAAAAATAATGGTAACCTCTGCAGCCCAGGGCATGCCTGTGTGGGTTGCCATGCCGCCTGGTACAGTGTCAGGCCCCTGTGGGCTTGCCACTAACGGGAGGGGGGAGAGGGCAAGATCGTCAGGCGGCCGAACATCCGGATTTGCCGGCTCAGCTGTTCGGCGCTGCGTCAAACAGCTGATCGGCACGGAGAAACTCGCATGCCCGAGCGTCTTATACAAGGGTGCATCTAATAGGCAGAAAAATACGGTAGATATCCTTTTGTCATTTTATGTACACATACATAACACACATATAAACATGCTATATACAACATATGTATATACCTACACCCTTACATGTAAATAGATATAAATGTTAATCACTGTCCATCTTGAATACATAGTGGAAGGAGGAAGCTTGAGAATTCACAAGATTAATACCTTATGGGACTGTAAGGAGGTCATCTAGTCCAACCTCCTGCTTAGGCAGGAAACCCTATACTATTTCAGACAAATGGCTGTCCAGTTTCTTCTTAAAAACTTTCAGTGTTTGAGCATTCACAACTTCTGGAGGCAGGTTGTTCCACTGGTTAATTGTTCTAACTGT